AACGTCGTCTGTCTTGCTTGTAAATCTCTGGTTGTTAGCTCGGGAGAAAGATGGGGGACCGGGACGGCCTGAGTGAGCCTTCATCAATGCATCACTCAACTTTATCGCGGCGAGGTTCTTTCGCCCACCGTACGGCACGAAAATTGAAAACTGACCTTTCTCGCAGGACCTTGTACTCTGCGTCGCGCTTGTTGAACGTGTCCACGCCCACGACGAAGTCGGCGAAGGGTAGGAAGAAGAAAGCCCAGTAGAAGCTTATCGCCGTCCACCCGCCGCCCTGTTCTTTCGTTGTCGGCGGTAGCGGTACGGTAAAGGAACACGTGTTTGGGACGGGGTGTCAAGCCACACACAAATAGCGATGACACACACACGCAGGCACGCACCGCCAAACTGTTCCGCGCTGCCACGCAAAACCCGCCGCCCATACAAGTACCCTTCATCCGTTCCGTTTTTCGACTTGCCCCTACGACATGTGTAGACGGTAGACTGACGTAGCATGCATTGAAGCAGGAATGCAGGTCTGCACGCGTACATATATATGTACGCTTATCAAGAAACGTTTCCCGTGTGGCGGGCCCCCGCGCACCTCGTGCACGCCCTTGACGGCGAAGAAAGGGATTGCCAGGTGCATGAAGTACGGGGACGGGCTGTCCCCCGAGTCTGGGATGACGGCCGTCCCTAGGAAGAGCGAGGCAACGAACCTTGTGACGCCACCAAACACGAACAAGGGATTGTTGTTGTTGTTGTTGTTGTTGCTGGTTTTGGGGTACTTGCTGCCGCTGGTGCTGGTGGTGCTGGTGGTGCTACTGTCACTGTTGCCTTCAAACGTTGAGAAACATCCTGCCCTCTCTGTCGCCTCCTCGATTGTACGAAGTGTTCTCTTCTTGTACTACCGATGCGGTACTTTCCGTTGCCCTAGGCTCTGCGCATCCGAAGGCACGCCTGAAATCCGCGGTCGCGATATCGTAGATTGCGAGACGACCGACACGACAGCTGTGGTCTAGGTCTAGGTATACAACCCCTCTACCAAGCACCGATGGAGAAAAGCTACACGGTTACAATGCGAAGGGCTCCCCGTCTACTAGTTGCTTCTGCCACTCGTTGTCGTTGTCGAGCACTGCATGTTGTTGACCATTCGCCTGCAGCAAGCTGTATGTATTTTATCCCTTCCAGAACACCACACTGCGCACGCGCACATCACGCCCCGTGACTCTGGCCCGAACGAACCCAAACACAAGTAATACTCGCGTGAGGAGCCCAGACAGCAAAGGTACGCCCGAGCCGCACAACATCCATCACACACAACCCACCCTACGTACACCCAGATGTCAAACTCCAGCAGGAACATGGATCCCGCGATCAGTCCCGCCACCCACGCTTGCCAGAGTCGGGGACACAGGCGAGCCGTCCCCGGGTCGGGCGGGGGGTAGTCCCTCAACGCCCACCAGTCCGTGCCCGGCACTTCCTTCGACCTGCCGTAACACCGTTAGAGTACACCTGGTGGGACAAAGCACTACGCATGCAAGTAGGCAGGGTTCATCACTGCGTTGGTGTTGGACTCTTGGAGGGCACACGCCATACGCCACAGCGAAAAGATCCCAGAAAAAAAATCGTGTCAACCCTTGTGTACTCGTATCTTGTACCCTCGAGGCCCTTTGACGGCATAGTCTTCTGGCCTGCTACTGCTGTGACTTCAAGTTCGCCAAGAGCCTACTGCTGTAGTCTACACCATCAAAGTTGAAAATAAAGGAAAACAACAGTACCCAGTTTCGTCTCTCACACAGACGCTGCGGTCCTGGTTTTCCAGGCCATTTCCTTATCACATGTTGGTAGCGTCAATTAAGGAATCCACAACACTGGAGATTCTGGCACCAACACAGAAGAAGATTGACTGCGAAGAAATAAGAAAACTGGACTGACAAAAAGCTGCGTTGTACAGCTCGTACCGAAAGGTTGCGAGTCATCGCAAGGTCCGGAGTCATCGCACCCCCGTACGAAAAACATTTAATGGCTGAATGTTTTTAATCGATTTTCGCACAGGTCCGGGGTCACCGCACAGGGGTGCGACGACTCGCAACCTGGGGTAGTCGAGTGCCCGTGTTAACGTGCCAGGTCTGCTGTACTGGTATGTCATCGTCGCACCCCACACGTGGAGGAATGAAGGAAAGGAAAAACAACGGTGTATTTATTGGATCGGCAAACTTGAACACCGCCTATTCAACCAAAAAAGAGAAACAAAAACAGCAGCCATAAGCCAAAGGTTACGTGCTGCGTGTGGGCACAACTCGACGTGGGAAATTGCGTTTCCCCCTCCGCGCGGGATTTTGTGCTTCGCCGCGGTTTACTTCGCCGCAACGGTTGTGGGTTTGCGTCTCTTATTACTATGGCATCGACGCGCTAACCGGCTGTGTGTGAGTGTGTGTGCTTTCTCGAAAACCTTTGCAGTATCCACCGGGCTAACTGCTGTGGTTGGCTGACGTGCGTGCGTGTGCGTACGTTGCGTGTGGAACCTGCAACCGCAGCACAAGTGAGGGTGTCCGAGCGTCTGCCAAGATTTTTCGAGTACCGCACATCCCGGAGTTACCGCACAAAGGTGTGCGTTATTCTTGATAATATCACCTTCAGGGTTTACTCAAAGGACCACACGTACTGGAGTTATCGCACAGGGATGTGTGTTGTACATCAAAATCCAGTGATTCAATTCGATATCCGCACAGGTTCTGGAAGTCATCGCACGGTCCGCAGTCATAACACCCTATGCGATGGAAAAGGAAACGGCGAACACGCTTGCAAAACGACCGCACGGGGGTGGAATAACTCACAACAGCACAGTAGTTTACTAACAACCGCACGGCGGTGTCTCACACAGACATCGCGGCCCTTCTTTTCCAGGCCATTTCCTTCCGATCTGATGTTGGTAGCGTCAAGCGAGGCATCCACAACAACACAGAAGATTGGCTGCGAAATCAGAACCAACACTCAAAAAAACTGGACTGGACTGAACAAGCGCTGAAACAGCGTTGCACAGAGAATACCAGTCTTTATCGACGAGGTGACCAAGTCGATCTCAGACCTCAGCGTGTTTCCTTTCGGGTCTAACGAATTGTATGATTGTATACACATCTCCGTTGTTGCGTTGTGATACTGCCGTCGGCCGGCGGCTTCGCACTCGGCTACAAGGGCGGAATCATCCATGTGGTCCTATGTCAACATCGCCGCCAACCGACAAGTTGAAGTTCTGTTTGTCATCATCAGCCGCACACACTTCCCTTTTTGGTTTCAATGTTCAAAATGGTAACTTTTCCACACGGGCCTACTGCGTGGCACGACTGAGGATACGACCGCACCAAGCCATCCTCGTAAACAAGGCGTAGGACTGTGGTTGACTTACCGCTTCTTCGCTTCATTCTGCTGCCGATCGCGGGTGACTTCCGAATGCGGAGCCATTGTATCCTTCTCTCACCCCCTGCGTGGTGACGAGAGCTCGCCGTTGTCGCTGGTGGTCGCCCTTCCTTCCCTCCGATGTGTCTCTTATTCTGTTCGTTCCCCCTCGCCCGGGCACTGTCTCTCTCCCCCTCTCTCGCCTTGCAGCTGCCGGCACTGCTGAACTGCTGCGCTGTGCTCTGGGGCGATGGGGCGGTGATCGCTCCCCTGATTTCGCCGCATTTTTGATTTTTGTCTCATTTCGCCGCATGATTTTGTCTCCCAGGTTCCTAGGTTGGCTGCGTTTTTTTTTAGCTCCTTGCCGCCCTGCACGCCATGTGCTACAAACCACCGCTGTGTGCTGGCCGTGTGCCCCGGACACGTTCACATGCCCCAACCCACATCCACCGCTGAAATGCTTAAGCTTCTCTTCTTGGTTGTGGCACTCACCTACAACGGCAGCGCGGCGTTGTTTGATCAGGAGGTGGGTGCGTGTTCCGAGGTCCTTTCTCTAAATAACATGTACGTGGCTGCTGCTGCGATAAGCTTTGATTAACAGCAATCAGGCCATTCGGCCATCGTTGCCTAACGGCATGCCTTCATGGGCAACATGGGCATCTCTAGTTGTGTTCATCCCCTGCCTTCCGCCCACTCTCTGGTATCAGCGCCCTCGCCAATTCCAAGATGGAACAGCTGTGATTGTCTTCAACCTCGGCCCAGCACACATGTGTACCCGCACACCTTCATACACAACCAGCACAACTACAGCGAAGAAGTGCTGTCGCAAGCTGCCGCAAATGCTATAGGCCTGGCCACAACTATCCAGCAGCACTGCATGGATAACCAGTTGCTAAGCCTTTTCGATCGTTGGCCTGGTCTACAGCAGCGAAACTAAGGTACAATACAGGAGTATTACTGCTGTACACTCTGTGTGGAGCTGCTTCAAATGAGTGATTGCCGTATGCATTCCGCCGTCTCTCGCCTTGTAGTCATGTTGTTGGTACCAGTGATGTACGGTGCATGTGCACTATAATATTAGACTAGACTGGTTCTGACGAGGCTGTTGAGGAGCCCTAGTGATACGGTCACTGCTCTGGGCCAACGATGACAACATTCCAACGGAAAACGGAAGAGCCCGCACCGCCCCCCGTCACGAGAAGGGAGGAACACTCTCAACGGCCACGTTGTCTTTACCTAAAGGGGAAGGTGAAACCATCCCAGCTTCAAACTGAAGGACTTGTCTAGAACTCTCCTTTTTGGCACACAACTTTCGCCGGGTAAAATGTGCTCTTGGCGGTCTGTCCAGCTCCGGAGCACACACTGGCTTGGCGCCCCTCCCCCTTAGTTGCCCGCTTTCTGGACCGAGTTCTTGGCTGTTCGACCGGGGAACAAGTGGCCCCCTTGCTGCTACGTTTGCTCCTAAAAGCGGGAAAGTTCATCCACCGTAGGATAGCGAACAACCAACGCGTTGCTCGTAGGAGGTTAAAACGGTCGGAAACATGTACCAAGTTTTCTCGAGGCCGCCAGTCCTTTACCACGAAGACGGTGTTTGCTCCCACTAACCCCCTGTTCCGTGAACCGCGCCCCGTCCCACCAACCACGTGGAGTGGCTTCACGTCCCGCGGAAACGACTGCGCGTGATGCACAGCTCCGCTCGCTGACGGCGCGGCCGAACAATGATCCATGTCGAGGCACGGCGGGCGCTAGAGGGGCACGTCCCGGAAGCCCCGGCCGCCGCTGCTGCTACGTTGTCGGCGTCACCGGTGGAGGGCCGCTGCTTGGGCCGCTTGCTCTGAAGGGGGAACTGCTGCGGCCGCGGCCACGCGCCGCCAACACGCGTGTCGCTGCCGATCGAACGAGGAGGAGATTGCGCTCGCTGAGGAGGAGGAGGCTGAGTGCGGCGCACCCGGGCTGCAGGTCGAACCGACCGCGACGTGACGACGGTGAGGGATTGTTGTGGTCGTCTTCGTCGTCGTGGACCGCGTTGTCTTCCTCGCGAGGTCTGCGGGCGGGCACGGCGGCGCGATCGTCACGTTTCAACGGTAGCAGCCGTAGGCTTGCGGGGCGGGATGGCGACGCCGGCGACAACCCGGACCTTGTTGAACAATCAGAAGACGAGGCCGCAGCGGCGGCGGCGGAGGAGGAGGGTTCAGCGGGAGGGTGGCAAGGGTGGGTGAACGGGGCGGTCGCCAAGGTGAAGGAAGCGCTGCCGGAGCCGAGCGAGGCGAAGAAGATCCTCCCGCTGGGATTGATGCTGTTCTTCATCCTCTTCGACTACACCATCCTCAGAGACACAAAGGTATGAACGTGTTTTTTCCGTGCCTCGTTCTGTTTTTTCCCTGTCTTTCCGGTTGTCTTGGTCCCGCCAGCTTGTCCCTTTGTCATGATGGGCGTGTGATTTCCCTCTATTTCGGCAGTCTGGAGAACGTGTGGTTGCAGCCGAAAGATCTCGTACTGTCCTTTGTTTCGTGTGCTGTGCTGCTGCCGACCCCAGAAAGAATGAACTTCCGCACAGGGGGTGGCGTACGTTGTTTTGAGTCCCAACCTAGACGTGCGAGGAGGGTCTGGTGACCGGAGCCGCCCTCTTGCCCTAACTTTTGACACACGCTGTCAAACACTACAACGCATGTCGGCAAGCCTCCTGTTCGAGAAAGGGATGGCAACCATCCCGTCTTGTCTTCCGTTGTTTTCATCTCGATCGTGATCGTGTACTGGTTGCCCTTTTGCCGCGCGTAGCGTTTGACACAACCACAAGCAGCGCTGCTCTGCGCTGACAAAATATCGCAGGCGGAAAAAGCATGTGCTCCCTCCCCCCCTCACGAGAGACCCCCTTTTGTTTTTGTTCTTCCCGTCATCATTTTCCTGTGTACCACTGGACTGAAGGTCGTCTTTTTTGTCTGCACCCCCCCACCCCTCACTGTTCTCCGCCGGCGGACCCCGCCACATATATACCCAGGACGTGCTGGTGGTGACGGCTCCGAGCAGCGGCGCCGAGGTGATCCCGTTCCTCAAGACGTACGTCAACCTTCCCGGCGCCGTGGCCTTCACGGTCCTGTACTCGAAGCTCTGCAACGCCGCCGAGCAGGTTTGTGCCGTTGTTAAATTGTCGTTTCGTGTATTTATTTTTTTTGTTCGTCGGCCGGCACGCTGTTCACAACCAGCAGCGTGGCGGGTAGGAGGGGGGGGGGNGGGGGGGGGGGGGGGGGGGGGGGGGGGGGGGGGTCGAGGGTAACGGGAGTGAGTGACTGGACTGACTGGCTCCTCGCCGCCCCCGTCGGAAGAAACTGCATCCGTCCCCCCTGTGTGTTGTGTCCGTGATAGCTGGGGGCGGGTGTGCTGTTTGTGTAGTGCGCAGCCGGTGCCTGACGTGCTTGGAAATCCTGTGGACGGTAACACGTGGTGTGCGTTTGCCGGCAGATGTTTCGCGACGGTCGATGCGGTAGCGGCCCGTTTGTCTCGTCAAGGGACGGGGACCGGGGGGGGGTTGCGGGACAACGGTGACCGTCCGAAACGTCGCGTTTTTGTTCTGATCTGCCTTGTTCTGTTCTTTGCGGTACACGGTTTCATCTCTGTTTCCGATGAACTCACACACACAGGAGCGGGTGTTCTACACGGTGATCGGCTTCTTCCTGTCCTTCTTCGCCGTCTTCGCGGCCTTCCTCTACCCGAATCGGTAAGATGGCCGGGTTAAAGTACCACCGCTATACCTCCGCATTGTATTAGGCAAGAATTGATATGCCAAGCTCGCCACGAGTAGCGGAGGGCAGCATCTCAATAGTCAGTCACTCGAACGACGGCTGGCGCCCTCATCGGTGCTCCCTCTCGCCGCCGTCCTTGTTGCCGGCCTAACGCCGACGGCACCGTCGACAAAGTCTATGCCGCATGAACTCACGGACAAAACATCCGACGCTTTTGTGGAGCAGTCACCAAAATTTATGTATCGTGTTCTCACACTCGCGAAAACACTACCGTATTGCCTTAACCCCAGAGGGGGGGTAGACGCATCATGCATTTTCCCGCCCCTCCCCCGTTGTAGTGGATACCTATATTCTTCCTGCAATGGTCAAAACCCATCACAACAGAATCCCGTACCTTCCTCCCCGTGAAACTGAAACTTAAAGAGCAAGGTCCGATTTGATCGGATCCGTACCTGCATGTAATAGTAGCAACGGCCCTCCCCGACAAGCAGAGATGCGCTGCCGTCGTTGGTCCAGTGGCCACTACGAAAGCATCCTAGCAGTACATGATCGGCTGCATGAATTGCTCCTCCCCCCCCCAAGAATGACAACGGAGTGAGGATGCTTGAATTCTTGGGAAGCAACGAACTGATGATGTTGAACGGTAGGAGGGAATGCGACAAGCCGGAGTTCACCAGGCAACGGGCAGTTTGCAATGAATACTC